ATATTATACAGTCACATATATTCTTGTTTCATGTTGGATTTTTTTCTCAGAAACACATTCACTCTATTATCCAACTTTTAGTGTAAGTTGCTATGTTACTTTTTATAAGGTTTTGATAATAGATGAAAAGAACTAATCTTAGATTCAAAAACATAACAAGTACCTTAATATTCTCTGATTATTTTTAATTTTTCCAACATTTTTCCTGTCAATTTCACCTTTATTTCATGGGCCTGAAAAAAGTACTCAACAGTATCTATACATTAAACATTAACCTTGGTAACCAAACAAAATTGTATATCAAAACCAGTTGTGGAAAGTGTTCCTAAATTTCAAACTATATATTCTTTTACAACACTTATAGTCTTTAAACTTAATAACATAGAAATATAGAATACAAGTATCTTTTAACCCACAAGATAGAAATAAAATTAAAAATGGGCTTGTATTTCCTGTATCTTTGCAAAACACTGGTCTGATGGTTTATTTATAGCAAAAACAATTGAATACATTATCACACTTGAGAGGAAGTTTCAACTGGATTCAGTTATAAACTTAAATCACCATCAAAAACTTACTTCTAAAAAACTGCTTTACAACACTGTTCAGTTGAAAACAGCAACAGAACAAAGAAAAAAAACTTGATTTTTTTGTGTACTGTATTTAATTCAAGTGGTTTAAAAGAAAAAAAGTCAAAACAAGTTTAATTGAGACTAGTTTCATGTCAGTACAGAAAAAAAAACATATTTCTAATTTTTAACACAAAAAGTGTTCATAAACACTATACTCAGGATTCCACAAGCATCATTTTAAGTAAGAAAAAAATCTCAAATAATCCTCAAGCTGGGATCAGTAGGATTTTTGTGTGTGTGTGTGTGTGTGTGTGTGTTTATATATACATATATATGTACGAATAGTATGCAGTTTTGAGCATTGTCACATATTATTAACATATGGTAATATACAATTATAAAACACTACATTGAGTATTTATAAGGATATCATTTTTCTCTTATAACTTGCAAGACTAAAACACTGTTTTAAAGAGACAAAAACTATAACCTGACACTGAAGAGTAGGTTCCAATAAATAGTTTTATCAAATTGTAGAAGTTTTTAAACATTTGTGTACACTAAACCAAAAATTAACATTAAAATATAAATATATATATAGATTCATTTTATGTTTTTCTTGGACACAGGTTTGAGTTATTTCTCAACATTTTTAAAAATTTAGAAAAATAAAGTGTTAAGAGAGAATATTTTCAATTTACAAGCTGCATACAAATCAAGATTTCCTTCCTTAAGGTACTTTCTTTTTACTGTTACATTAGTAAAGTGGCTCTTAACTTTTTTTGGCTCAACACCCATTCGTAAACACTGATGGTCAATTACAACCCAATAAATAAATAGCTATGGTCAAAAAACAATTAGCTTACTAACTAAATAAACTATTATCTATTTTTAAAATCTGTTTGTGACCTTTTCACACATTCTGACTACTTAATTTTGGGTTGCAACCCACAGGCTGAAATATGTTGCATTAGACCCAATTATATATCTACCAAAAGCTTTATTAATGCTACAACTGGATCATACCTAGATTGTCTTTAAAAGTTGGAATGGAAGAAACTACAAGGCTGTTGTTGGTCACTAAAGGTGAGAAACTCTGTGACTGCCTCTCAGCTGTGGCATTTGTGAGTGTTGAATGCGAGTTTCGTACATCACACATTGATGAAACTGCAGCTGCCTGAGAAGCTTTGAGAGCTGCTTCTTTCAGAGCACGGTGGTCAGCAAGAAGATCATCAAAATTCTTTTTCCTACCTAAAACTTTTCTACGTAGTGAGAGGGAATGTGTCTGTAACAAAGGAAGAAATTATTTGTTAATTTACAGAATGGGAAGGATATTAAAAGTTATACATGATTCTTACAATAGATCTTTGGTCACTGATTTATGGATCTTACATGTTTTAAATCAAATTTCCTTTTTTTAAAGTAAATAAGCATGGATACCGACTTTTTGTTTAAGATTTTTAAAGTAGCATTATGCAAAAAAGTTGTATGTTCTGATCTTAATATTAATTTCTGGCACTGTAATTACATTAATATTAAATACATAGAAGAGAAGACAGTTGACTCAATTAATTAAATAGATATATTTAATTAAGTGTACGTTAGTTACTTTAATATAGACTAGATGATCAAATCATTACCACTAGAAAGCCATAAATAACAATCACATATTCAATATTCAACATAAACTGTTCAAAAGTATTAATGATTAGAGCAATATTTACCAGCTAAACTATACAATAAAAAATGTATGGTATTTAAACAAATTACAAATTGTACAAAAACTTTTGTTTTATAAGGTTTATAATTTTGTCATTTTCAGCCAATACATAAATATCACTTCAAAAAATATCAATTGTTTGTAACATATTACTGAAAAATCAAGTTCTTAAAACTAATGTAATCAAATATGTAAAAAACCATTAAATATTTACTGTAGTAAATGCCACTGGCAATTTTTAAGTTAAAAAACTAATATTATTGTGTTTACACACACACATATAGGGCTGAGAACAGACATGCTCATTGCTACTATAATGGTTATATGCATGGATTTTGTGACACATCAAAATCAAACAACCACATTAGTTTACTAAGATGGGTGAATGGACACTATTCCCTTCTTTGCTGCATTACACAGATCAGACTGTTCTCACAATATTTCTGAATTTCAACGAGTATGAATCTCCATGATGAAACTGGGCAGCCAAAACAGGGTACACATGAATGATCTGTAAATTTAATGCATTTCTTTAAAATTTTACGTATTGGAAAAAGAAAGACATCGAAAGTCATAGAGATTTTGACGAGATACAAGGTACACCAATTTGTCTTTTACAAAATTTTTTTCCTTACGATAACAAGGTTAATTAACTTGTTTTTAAGAATGATACTCCGGGCCCTATACTGTCCATAAGACAACTTCCTCCATCATAACTGTGACTAACCTAATGGCCATGATTATATACTACTTACTGTCCCTATAATTTCCATTGTAATGAGCTTCTGTGAAGGATGGAGAGGTAAATCTTAGAAAACACATCTCGACATACTTTTTATGTATCCTCACCATGTGTGGACATTAGCAGCTTCCAAAACCAATTTTAGGAAACAAAAGGCAAAAGAAGTCTCTTGGAGCTACATTTAAGAATTTTGACATATGTTTAATAGAATACAATTGCTACTAATTACAACCTCTTTAGCCACTTTTTCATGAAACAGCTGTTAATTTCAAACTATAGTTGTAAACATATGAACATTTGGTTTCTGGGCTTTTTTTCAATTCAGATAATTTTAAATTATCCTGTTAAAAATACCAGGAGATATACCCAGCTTTATTTCAATGGTTTTCTGGGTCAAAGGGTTCTGCTTCGCATTAACAGTTTTCACTTTGCAGCTAAAAGACACTGCTCCAGATTGGTTTGGGGTATTGCTATCCTACATACATTGCTTTGTTTTTCCTTTCCCATTGAGAAAGCTCTCTCTTTTTTGAACTGGTATGTTCTTTAGATTTATCACTTGACAATCTAGATAAATATCATCACCTGGAAAATCTGCAACATATTCCTTCAGACACAAGTCTAACCATAGCAGCCTTGTAATGACCATTATAAATTTATAAAGATCCAAATATACAAGGTTCTAAACATGTCCCCCATTATGCCATAAATCATACCTGC